AAACTCATTTCACCATCTTTTTAAATGGATTTTATCCATTTTTATATTAATTTCAACTTAACATTTTATAATTATTTCAATTTAATCCCTCATCCTTGCATGTTGTTTAATTTATTTAAATTATTGTTTGTAATTTCATGTTTATTCAATTTAGTCCTTAAAATTATATTTTTATTAAAATTGATCCATAAGTATTTATATTTTTTGTAATTTACTTCAAATCATATACAATTACAAATTACAATTTGTCGCTCATGAAAGAAATAAGTAATTAACCAAAAAATAACCCGACCTGAACTCAATCCGTACTCGATAAGATCCGACCGGAATTTTGTCTGTCAATGATGTGACCCGATCTGAACGAGATCTGACTAAAATCCATCTGAACCTGATTTAACTTGGTATTTAACTGCTTCGGACTTGAACCGTTTTGACCTGAATTGATATCGATCTGAACTAAAATTAATCTAATTTAAACTCAAACTGAATATGATGTCAAATCAACTTGAAAATAATCCGAACTAATTTGACCTGGATCTAACTTGATTCGAATTGAACTATCTAATTAACTTGACACGATCTATATCCGATTTAACCTAATCTAATAAGATCCTGTTGAAAACTCCGACTTCAAATCGCTACCGAAAAAATAACGAATCTCCCGTCCTTCGGCGTTCTGCTAACGAAAAAAGAAAATAAACTTTGATCAGAAAAAGGCAGAGAAAAGGGGAAAATGAGAAGACGACCTGGAATCGGAGGCCTTCAAACTGCTGCTTCTGCTAGGGTTTGCTTTCACATTCATTCTGATCTTAATTACGATTCTCCTAATCGACATCAATTACAGCCTTTTCCTGTAATTGTTTGTGTTGGGAGAAAATGTAGCCAAAATACGAACCGATCTCATGAAGGAACAGCTCGCTACGTTCCGTTCTCAACTCGAAGAATTCGCTCGAAAACACAATGCTAAAGAAAATTCCTTTTCAGTTTTTTTTCATGATTTTTATAATTTCAGTTTTTTTTTCTAATTTTTCTACTGTATTTTTCGTAGAATGATATTCGTAAAAACCCGTCTTTTAAGTCACAATTTCGCGAAATGTGTGCTAAAGTAGGAATGGATCCTTTGGCTTCAAATAACGGATTTTGGGCTGAGATTTTAGGGATTGGTGATTTCTATTATGAACTCGGTTGGTAACAAAATCCTTATTTTTTAGAACAAATATTAATTGGAGAATTTTCCGTTGTCTTCAAGATTTTAGATTTTCCCTCTTTTTTTTAGTGTAATTTAATATTCTTTATTTTGAGAGCAAAGTTATGATCCTTATGCTTATTTTTGGCGCGTATAATTACCAATTTCTGTTTGGGATTTCTATAATTTATGAAAGATATATAAATATAGATAATTTACATGCAGACTTCTCTGCATTTTGGCTTGATATACAAATTCATATACACTGCCTTTTTAAGGTTTTTCGTAAATTCTAATGATCAACTTCACAGTTTTAACCTTAACCATGAAGAGATTCATTTGTGTCAAGATTTGGTTGAGTGCTTATAATGAGACATTGGTATTTGACTAGACAGGAGTGCAAATTGTTGGGATATGCTTGGCAGCTCGGTCCCTTAATGGAGGTTTGATCGATCTGCAGGAACTCTGCAAATTGCTCATCAGAAACGGAAACATGATCGTGAAGCTGCTTCTGAGGATGACTGTTTCCGTGCTATAAGTAAGCTGAAGGTATGGCACTATGAAGCTACTTCATATTTGTTTTCTACTCCTTATTGAGTGAGTTCGCTGGCCTTGCCACATTCCCATTTTCCCTTTTCATCTCTTAGGATGAGTGAGAGGTTAAATTCCTTTGTTTTTGAGCAACACGCTTGCTTGAACAGTTTTGGATTCGTTGGTGCCATTGTTTCTGCTTGCAATTCTGACTTCCTATTGCATTCGTCTGTAATGGAATCATCTTATGCAACTCATATAAATTTGTATACTGCCATTTTTAAATACAAGTCTTGTTCGAAATCTCTAGACATTAGGTAGTGGGTTTGAGGTGATTTCTTCTGGAATGAAAAAGCTCATTCGATCGGTTCCAACCGAGTTGAAGAAAGATTATAATGAAATTCTGGAGCTGGCACAGGTTACTGATTCTTCTATTTTGTATTTTCTATCAAGTACCAAATGCGAATAAGTGTTTCATCGATGTTCTACTTGTTTCTCTCTCAGGCCCAAGGCTATGTGACTGTCGATGAGGTAGAGAGACGGATTTCCTGGACGCACGGACGTGCTATTGATGCCCTCAATACTTTATTAGACGTAAGTTCTTGCAAACGATCAACATGTATTCTTATTACTATGGTGTTTAGATTTTCAGGGTTAACAAAACCCGTGTTGTTTGATGCAGGAAGGTCTTGCAATGATCAATGATGGTCATAGAGATGGAAATCGTCGATATTGGTTCCCCTGTGTATCCTCCATCTCTTCAGTTGGTGTTTGATTCGTGTGGTAAGTTTAGAGATATTTGAGGCCGATGGGAAAAAAAAGGAAAAGAAAAAGAAAAATGATTGTTCCTGAATTGAAGCTTGCAAGCAAGGCAAAGAATCATGTTTCTTGCACCTTTTGTATTTGCTCCTCCCTCTAAGTAAGTGTTCATTTAAGCTATTTTATTGACACAGTTTGAGATCTAATAAGCTCAATTGAACGATAAGAGAACTTATGTAAAAATAGATATAGATATAAATAGATAATTATATATAGATATATTTTTATTCGATTATTTTTTTTAAATATCAAATCTTATTTGAAATGATATTTTTAATGAAAAAATAATCTAAGGGGCTGTTTGTTAAAACTGAATGGTTTAGTACTGAATGATTTAGCAGTCTGAATGATTAAGAGGCTCTGTATGATATAGTTCTGAATAGAAAATTTGTTTGTTAATACATTTGAATGGCCGATCTGAATGACAAAAAATGACCATATTACCCTTCTATATGATTTTGTGCCAAAATAAAATATATTTATTTCTACCTTGTGAATAAATGCTAAAAAAATATTTTACTTTTTGATGTTTATAAAAACACTTTTTTGTCAAAATTATCAACAATCATAACAAAATATAAAATCAAGTAACTTAAAAACACATTTTTTTAGACAATTTATCAACATTCATAATAAACAAATCTACTAACATGAAATGACATAAAAGAGTGGTTTATATTTTTGATGAAACAAAATACATAACAAGCATTCTTTTGTTATAGACAAATCAACCCAAAAAAAAGATATTAATTTGAAGCATTTAAAAACAACTGATTAGCAATGTGATCACGTAGATTAGCCATATACTCATTGCCTTGAGGACCCCATTCAACTCCATTTATCTCGTCTTGTTCGTTTCCATTATCTTGTTCTTCAGAAGCAAACATGTTGTTCTCGTCGAAATCCATAAATAATTGATCATAAAATTTGCATTTTCTTATAAAATTATGGACCGCAAAACATGCAATCACTATGTCTCGTTGTATTGGAAAAGGATAAGGAGCCATTTGCTTTAGGATCGGGAATCTTGCTTTCAGAACTCCGTAGGCACGCTCTATAACATTTCTAAGTTGTGCATGAACATGATTGAACCTTTCTTCCTTGGTTACGGCACGTTGACGTCGAAAATCTGCTAGCCAATACCTCGTATTACGATATGGAGTCATAAAGCCACGTGTGTTGGTATATGCAGCATCACAAAGGTAATACTTATCTGTTATTTATATATAAGCATTAAATTTTTGTTACAAAAAACTATAAATAAATGTAATGAATTAAAACATTTTAATACGATAGAAAGAAATGATATATACCTTGTGGAGGAAAAGGAAAACCCGAGTTTGGATTAAATGCAACTTCTGTCAATACTCTAGAATCATGTGCTATGCCCTCCCATCCAGCCCACACAAATGTGAATATCATATCAAAATCACAAATTGCCAAGACATTTTGATAACATACACCCTTTCCTCTTCCTCTATAACGAGCTTGTTGATCGATAGGAACTACTGCATGTACGAGTGTTCCATCTAGTGCACCTACTGCACCCTTTATTGAAGAACATAAATGATAAGAAACTGAAATATTATTTTTTGGGTGATAACAAAAAATATATAAAAAAAACATACCGGAAATATTTTTCGTAGGTGTTTTTGTCTTTGTGTCATATTCAATGTTGTTTCTTGTGATGTTGGAACTATTATTTCTCTTGCGAATTTTATCATTGCACGTCGTACCTCATGAAAACATTTATGAATGGTTTGTGTGGAGTGTTGGAATCTCCTTTTAACCATTCGAAAACGTTCATTATGGCCTATAATTGTTAGAAATATAGCCATTTTCTCTTCCACGGTTATCATCCTACTATTTTGCAACCAATTTCTTTGTTTTAAATGGTTACATAACAGTATATACGCATCACGAGATAGACGCATTAATTCATGGCATTGTGTATTCGAACCAAATAACAATTCTTGTGTATATGCATGTCCAGTCAATGTTGAATTATTGTCTCGAATTCTTTCAACTCTTGGTGATGCATTTACCATCCAAAACCACCATATAATGATTAGAAACACCTCCTCGTCATTTAAATCCATATAGCACCTAGTCGAAACAAAATATAAAAGACATCATCAAAAAGACACATATCTAATATATCCATTGGTGAACTAACAACATATACAACTTGATTCTTACGGTTTTTTCTTATATTTAGAGGACCAGAACTCCATATATCCATTGGCATATTAATTTCTATGGTCTAATAACATATCTAGGCTATTAATTTCTAGTCTAAAAAACTGATGCTTTAGTCAATTGGTTACTACACTGGAATAAAATTAGTTATTAACGAGCAGACAAATTTATTCACTGAACCTAAAATTCCAGGATTATACCAATTTTTCTTCCCTATTTTGTAATGTAACTTATTGCACTCACAGTATATATGTCCTTTTTCAGAAGGACAAGCATCCCCATTTCCACCGTTTTTCTTGGTCTATCATAGTAATTTTGCCGTTTCATTTGTTCCCTTCTATATGACATGATAGCTTACTAATGTGATACGATCTTATCGGTGCAGAGATGGAATTAAGTGACTCGCGGACTCAGTTAAATCTATAGGCAACTTGTACATTATCTCCTCATAGAACTTGTAAGTAGATTTCAGGAAAAATCATGACAAATGCTCCTTTTTTTCCTCAGAGAACCACAGTTTGTTACTTTGATTTGATTTCATGAATTTGCCTTTTGGCCGATGTTTTGTTTGTTGCACAAATAAGAACTAATGTGGGAATTGTGTATATCTTTCCATGTTCATTCTTTTTCTAATTCTGAAGTTTCAGCTTTGATTTCAGAGATGTATGTACAACTATTGGAGCTTAATTAAAATAATATAGGTCAAATTACAGTTTTGGTCCGCCTACTATGCTAATTATACTGTTTACTAATCTAGATAGTTATCGTCATGTCCCCCCCCCCCTCAAAAACACCTTTTTACAATACACAATATATTTCAGCATGAGTTGGAGTGTTTTTCTTAAAGAAAAACTTAAACATAATGAAGAGACCATAGCTGTAATTTGGCCAATGTATATTTATTATTGTGGGTGAGACCTTATTCATAGTTGTATTAAACAATGTAAAGCCAGTAAACAGTTATCAATGCAATTCCCAAACAGTTACTGCATGAGTTGAATTCGATAACTCACAGTCGGGCAAAGGTAATCATCAAAGAAAAAATGAACTAAAGAGAATATTACCTTAGAAACGGGATTGTTGAGAACCAGCGGCAAGCAAAGGGATTGTCAAAACAAGAACTAAACCAAATCCCTAAAAAGAAAATGGGGAAAAGGGTCAACCATAGTAGCCAAAGAAACATATCAAACAATGGAAAATTCAGCTCCAGCAAATTTCAGAAAGGAATAAGAGAGAAAAACTAATAACTGAGACAATTAAAAACAAAGTTCAAAAGGAAAGCATAGTTCAGATTACCTCGAGAAGGAGTGGGAAGATTAGTTGTTGCTCATGAGCGAAAGTAAACGATAAAGAGAGAGAGGGAGAAAAGGGATATTAGTGTTCGTCTGAATTATTAAGCGTGCTTTTAGACTCTGAATCGGTCAGTAACTCCAAATCATTCAGACCCATAATTTTAAGCGAACCAAGCGCGCTGAATCGGACCGATTCAACGTTCAGATCTGAACGATTCAATTAAGAGCCAAATAAACAGGGCCTAAATCATACAATATACAAATGAGATTATAACCAAAATCAGTATTATTTAGGGTTTAGGGTTTTTACTCTTTCTTATTTTACTCACTGTATTTTCAATTTTTCTATTTTATTCACTTAACATTTGAATTGCTCCTTTGGTCACTCCATATTTTATTATTATTTTAGTATGACACAATATTTTTTATTATTTAATATAAAAATAATTTAAAATAAATAATAAAAATGTCTCATCATATCAAAATAATAATAAAGTAATTTAAAGTGATCAAAACATGAGTAATTTAAAATTTTAGTAAGTAAATTGGAAATATTAAAAGTATAATGAGTGAAATAGGAGAAAAAATAAAATTCAATAAGGAATTATGTATTTTACTCATATATTTATCATTATAAAATATAACTAAATGTACTTATAATCAAAATATATGTCAAACTTAAACTAAAATAAATTGGGATTAAATCCATATACAATGAAATTTAAAGCTCAATTTTTTTTTGTAAGAATGCATAGAGTGAATAGATTTCTTATAAATTAAGAATAAAAGTAAATTATTATAAAAACTTTGCCTTTTGAGTGTTTTTATTTTTGGCAATGAAAGGCGACGCGACAATGACTGTTGCACGAGTACAAACCAAATATTTTGCGTTTTCTTCTAAAATTAAACAAAGAACAAATTTTTTTAGCACGAACAATTTATCCAAGTAGTTAAATGAATCGTTGTTGTTTTTAGAGGTCACATATTTGAGCACCAATGACTGCAAAAAAGTGATAGAACGTTTATTGTCAAATGATTGAGAGTATTTAGAACATATACTATTTTATAATCACCTTTAGCTTAATAAAAAAATTTGTTTTTTTAATACCTAAATATTTAAATAAAAGTCTAATATTTTAGAATATACATAATAATCTAATACTTCAAAATAATTAAATAAAATATTAATATTTTTAATATACTCAAATAATTATAAACCACTTTATCTTTAAAGTAAATATAATAATAAATTTATTCTCAAATATTTAAATTTTTTTATCACTCTAACCCCTATTTTTACGGATAAAAAAATTAGTTGACCCTTATTCCCATATGTAATGAGGTAAGGGGGAGGTAGGATAGTAGGCTGCTCCCAACGCCAGGTTGAGAGCAGTTTCCATGGGAGACCTCAGAATTATGAAATGCCCTCTATGGGACTCAATCCCACGATCACAAGATTAACAGCCTTGCACTCTACCAACTGAGCTGGACGATCATTTCTTTATGGATCACTTTCGATTTTATTTAAATTATCGACTTTTAATAGAAAAGTTGACTAAACCATTATACGTTTAATAACGTTGATGTGATGATAATCTGCCTATAAAAGAGAACATAAAAATTCAAAAAAGCTCATTATTATTTTTTAAAGTATCCAATCTAATAATGAAGTACATATAGACTAATATGATAACCGGTAGATCAGTGTCATTAAAATATTAATAGCACAATAAGTTATTTCATCTAAAATACAACAATTTGCAATTATTCAAAAAAAAAAAAGAGATCAAAGTAACAAAAGGAGCCAAATATAGTGGCTAAAGTTGTTATTATATAAAAGATGATAACACAATATTAAATTCAATCAAACTAGTGATCATTTAAGGAGATTCGAAAACATTAGATCCCTATTTAACAAAGTGAAAGGTTTGGCCCTTATTTGATAAATTTGAAAATGCTAGATCCATAATTGGCTATTTTGAAAGGTTAAGCCTTACCTAGTAACCCTTAAAATGTTAGACATTTATTTGAACATTTAGCCTTTTGATAGGGAAGCGGTGGAGGATTAATGAACGTTGCTCTTATTGAAGAATCAAACCTAGAAAACTCTAGACTCGATGAAGCACAAAGGGGATGGATAGGGGAAGGCGACGACAATAACTAGGGTCTTTTAGAGTTTCTTTTAAGTTGGAAACAAGGTAAGAAACAAGATTAGAACAAGATAAACAAAAGAAAAAAATTGAAAATAAAGTATGATAACCAAGAAATCTAAAGATCTCCCTTATGAAGGTGAACAATAAAGATGATGATGGTGAAGATGGATTTGTGGAAATAGATGGATAAGTGTCCTATCGAACCCTCCTACTTGCAATGAAAAGGTAAACACGATAATATGGCTCTAACCAACCCTCGTAGTCGCGATGAAAAGGCAAATTGGAGTGTGAAGATTAATCTCCCTCACAAGAACTTGAAAGAACTCCAGGAGAAGAAGCTTTGACGGCACAAGGCAATCAACACTTGCAAAAACGAACTCTCGTTATATTATTAATAAAAGAAATTTGTTTTACAAAATTGAATGAAGCATCCTTTATATAGGATATAAGTTTCTAAGGTCCTAAATAAATAATGAATAAAATAATAGCAAACTAAACATGTATTAACTCTAATTCCTAATAAAATAATAATAAACTATGAATAATGTTTTAACCCAACCTTAATTCCTAATAAAATAATAAATCTAATCCTAAAAGATAATGCATAATCCTATATTAAATTATATTACAAATAATCAATAAAAATATTGAAAATTCGTAATATTTACAAAATCCCGTATAGAATTTTCTGCATGCATTGTCTTCACTAAAATAGCCATATCTCGAGTTCCTGATATTGGATTGAAGCAATTAAAGAACCGTTGGAAATATAAGAGACAAAATATTGTATCTTCATAAGAAATGTTGACAAAATAAGATCAGGATCCCATTCAAAAAGTCATAACAAGTCTGATACTGTTTTGGTCTTCTTTTCCAAGGCTTGGACGAGTGGGTCATTTGGAAGAATTATTACTTCTTCCTTTGATGTGAGCCTTGTGATGCATGTATCACCTTTTCTTTCAACTAATAAAGTATCACAAAATATAAAACTATATATATATATATCGAGTTAGGTATTTGAAGTTAGATTTATGGTTTAATTAAGACAAAGCAAATTAGTTGTCTCTATTTTCTCTCAACCTAATTTTCTTTCAATATTTTATACCATCATTTTCTTTATCTTTGATCTTTGTTTAGTCGACGATGGCATCAATCTTAATGTTAATTGGCGACCGCCGAAGAATATTATTTCTCTTATTTTTTATATTATGTCTTTATGCTTTTTTATTGATTTTTTTTTTAATTTTGAATAAGTATCTCTATACTTGTGACATGATTTTTCTCTGCTCTTGTGGCACACGTTCTTTATTCTCTTGTGGCACGATCCTCATATTTTTGGGTACGTTTTTTGCATACCTTTGCGGTCATTTTGGTTCTCGCATAAAAATCATCATGATATTTATTTTCTGATTGGTTAGTCGATGATCACGTATAATCAGATCCCCTCTTTTTGATAAAATGTTGTTTGCCGATGTAATCACAATTGTGTAGCGAAGCAGACTGCCAGATTATTTGGTCTGCTCTCCACTCCTTTATCACTTCGTCAAGCGTCTCATTCGATAGAGACAAAGAGTTTGTATGAAGGTTATTGGGTTTTGATATTGATCAGAAGGTTTTTAATTTTCTTTGTATTTTTAGGTTTATTTTTTCTTTTGTTTGAGTATTTTGGTGACTATTGTATTCATATTTATCTCTTTATTCTGATGCATTGTAATTTTGATTCATTCTATTATTAATAAAATTCAAAAGCCATTGTTCAAAAAAAAAAAAAAAAAGCTTTATGGTTTAATGTGATATTTTTATATAATTAGATTCTCGAACTTGACTTTTTAGTTCAAAGCGATACATGAAATTATTTTTTTTATTCAAATTGGCATTTCTGATTTTTAACCAATTTGATTTAAGAAACCAAATTTAGTCACTAATCTAACTAAAAAGTCAAATTTAGGTATCTAATTGGAAAAAAATTAAATACCAAATTAAATATAGAAATCAAAATTAGGTACCAAAATGTATATCAGATCCAAATTAATTTTCAAAATACTTAAAATCATTGAATTTGATAATAAAAAGGGGGTAAACTACCTATTTAGTATCCCACCTATTATTTTATTTCTGTTTTGGTCACTCAAGTATCTTTTTAACAAAATCATGCCTAATGTTATATATTTGTTTCTATTTTGATCACTGGTCGTTAAATTTAACTATTGACTTAACATGAGTAGTTGAGTGGCCAAAATTTAAATATAATAATAGGTGAGATACCAATAGGTAGTTTACCCTAAAAAGAGGAAGAAGAAAATAAAGTAAAAGTAAAGCCATTTTAAATTAAAGGGTAAAATACACTCCAAATCACTTAATTATTAGTTCGCTTATGAAAGTTTGTTCTCTTTTAAAAGTTAAAATTTAGTACTTCAATTAAAATATTATTACAAACATGTCACCCACCAATAAATATTAAACAAAATAGTGATGTAGTTTGATATAATAATAGTTTTAGTTTCCAAAATTTATACATTCAATCAATTTGGTCTTAAATTGAAACAATTCAATAAATTTAACTCCTTATATTTAAAAATCTTATCAATTTAGTCTTTTTCATTCTCTTAGATCACCTTTTTTCTCTAAAACATATTATATTAATTTATTGCTACTTTTTAGATATAATAATAATTTGTTATTGCTTTTTGGTAGAATACTATTATCCAATTGTTGGTTTTATCTGAATGACTCGTTTGGTTTGAAAATAGCATAAAAAATAATAAATTGATGGAACTTTTAAACATTAACGATTAAATTTAGGGAAATTATACGGGTGATCATTTGACTATATCCCCTTTTCATTTTTATCACTATTTTTGAAATTTTGTTAATTGGGTCACCTAATTGTTTAAATGCATTCAATCAAGCCACTAACCTTATGTATACTCACCATTACTAGATAACAACCACATCAGATGCACCATTAGTTTTTTAACGGCGCGTGACTTGATTGAATGCATTTAAATAGTTAGGTTATTCAATTGAAAAAATTCGAAAATGGTGGTCAAAATGAAAAGGGGCTATAGTTAAGTGGTCACTCGTATAATTTATCCTTAAATTTATTGAATTGTTTAGAATTAAGACCAAATTGATAGAATGTATTAGTTTTGAGACAAAAATTACTATCACACCAGACCACATTAGGCGTCTGTTTCGATTTGAACGATAGAGCGACTTAGTTATAATAATATTTTAATAAATTAAATTGTATTTTAAAAAAGGTGATTCGTTTATAATCAAACTAATAATTGAGTGATATAAATTGTATTTTATCCAAAGTCTGTACAAGAAACCTAAACAAATGCGATAAATCCAAAAATAAATATTACAAAAGGTTTGACACCTATTTTGTACCATTTTATGAAAATACAAACTTGAATTTGGTTGTTCTCAACTTCTTCTCAAGTTTTGGCATAGCAGAAAAGAACTAAAATTTTCTCCTTTTTTCTGAAATTCATAATGTTTTCTTCTTCTTCTTTATTTCCGTGTATCCTTCAACTATTTTTCTTCTTCTTCTTCTCTCATGTCCAAGCTGCAAAATTACCATTTCACCCTCGAGATGTTCTGCCTTTATTGCCGAGGGAGGTTTCGTGGCCGATCCTCAACTCTCTTCAGGGCGCCGTTGACCTTCTACCGTCCTTCGTCGGCTCTGTTTCATCGCCGACCCGCATCGTGAACTGGAAAGGTGCATGCTTCTATGAGAACACGGCTTGGGTGGAGTTCCATAACAAGACCGGCAGTGAGTTTGGCGGTGGAACTCTCCATATAAGGGTAACACCTCTGGCCTTTTATTTTATCGATGTTTTGGAGCGTTTTGCAATCTGGGTATCTCTTGGTTTGATTTTAAATTGCTTAAAATTTGAATCGTTTGAGTTTTATTTGGACTGTTCTTGTTTCTGGGTTTTACTTGGTTTGAGCTGAAACTGCTTCAATTTTGGTTTCTTTTAATTTATTTATTTTCGATGAATTGAGGAAGACCGAATTATTTGGGATTTTGTATTTTTCTTTTCTATACATAATTTGTCAAATTTGGGAGTGTAATTTGTCAAATTGAGGGAATTTGAATATTTGCATAACTTATGTTCAGAATGATGCAGAGTTCTTTATTTTGGATGATTGTAGAATCGGTTAAGAGTACTTCAGGGCTTAATGATGTGACCATGATATCTCTGTGCTTATCCAGGTTAGCTATCCCCATAGTTGGACATGTATGGATCTTTATGTCTTTGCAACTCCATACCGTGTGACTTGGGATTATTATTTTTTGTCTCGGGAGCATACACTTGAAATCAGCGAGTGGGAAGATAAAGCTGAGTATGAATATGTAAGTTGCCATTGTTAGTTTGAATTACTTCAAGTGTTAGCTTGGTTCAGTTATGCATCTTTCCGGCGAGCTCATGCATGGAATTTTATGTCATGTTTAAATTAGGTGAAACACAAGGGGATTTCAATTTTCCTGATGCAAGCAGGGATGATTGGAACATTTCAAGCTCTATGGGATGTCTTCCCCTTATTTACAAATACCGGATGGGGCGAGAACTCCAATATTGGGTTTCTCGAGAAGCACATGGGGGCTTCTTTTGAAGAACGGCCTCTGCCTTGGGTTACTAACATCAGTGTTGATGATGTACACTCGGGAGATTTCCTTGCTATATCAAAAATTCGTGGACGATGGGGTGGTTTTGAGACTCTTGAGAAGTGGGTTAGCGGTGCTTATGCTGGTCATACTGCTGTTTGTTTAAAAGATTCTGAAGGAAAGCTTTGGGTTGGTGAATCAGGACATGAAAATGAGAAGGTATTACAAAATCCTTTTAGCTGTCTTACCGAATTTGTTCCCTACATATTATCTCTTTTCTTTCTATCTGTAAAAACAAATACCCTTTTGTTCGCTACTGTTTTCTTGCTGTACTATAGATTCTTACAATGAGTATTTGCTTAATAAGTTAACCTAACACCACATAAACACAAATTCTTTTTTATGATTATCTTATTTCCCCCTATTCAAATATGTTAATAAAGGAAAATATCAAAATCATTTAAAGTTGTGTAAAACACAATGTTGTATCCAACTATCTTTATGTTCTTGCATAGATTCTCATTTATGTTATTGTGACTGAGTTTAATAATTCATCAGGTATAAGTATAACCATTTATTTGAGTTATTCTGCCTGTACTTGTTAATGACTTCTTTGTTATTATTTACCTGTCCTGGGTTGTAGGGAGAAGATATCATTGCAATTATACCATGGGATGAATGGTGGGATTTTGAGCTGAACAAGGATGAGTCTAATCCCCATATTGCATATCTTCCTCTGCATCCTGATGTTCGAGCAAAGTTTAACGAGACTGCTGCATGGGAATATGCGCTAAGCATGGCGGGCAAACCATATGGTTACCATAACATGATATTTAGCTGGATAGACACCATCGATGGGAATTATCCTCCTCCATTGGATGCTCACGTGGTATTTAAATATTCATTTTGGTTCCTCATGCTAAGATTTTTAGTTTTAAGTTTTAGCACTACAGATAATTGCAAATGGAGGTACAAAAGCACACAAAGATAGGATGATAAAAATTCTTAATCTGTTCCTTTTATTATTTTTCAATTTCATAAAAATGTTATTAATGCTTATGGCTCTTGTTCTCTCCATGGTTTGAGTCCGAGAATTTATGCAGTTCATAGTTAAGTGTTGGCTGGCAATCATACAGGTAGCTTCTGTCATGACAGTTTGGAGTAAAATACAACCTGAATATGCTGCTAACATGTGGAATGAGGCCTTAAACAAGCGGCTTGGGACTCAGGTATGGTACCTTTCTTTGTTGGTAACATAAGTGAACTCATGGCAGAAATCGAGTTAGCAGTTTATTCACACATGAAATATAATCTGAATTATTTGGGATTTATGTCTTGAAGATAGTATTGTTTTGTTTGTTTGTACGAGAGTTTCATAAAGATTTGATAGGCAAAGTTTGTCCTAGATGCTTCAAAGACTTATCAGATTTTTAGTTCTTTGATCTTAAAAAATAATGAATATATTAGCTATTCTTTGTTCTTGTTCGTTAAAAAAATGTGCTCCAATATCTTTCTCTCTTAATTATAGTGTTAACTGCAGGGTCTTAATCTTTCTGATATCTTGGTGGAAGTCGAAAAGCGTGGGTCCTCATTTGATGAACTACTGACCATTCCAGAACAGGATAATTGGATATATAGTGACGGGAAGTCAACATCATGCATTGCTTTTATTCTTGAAATGTACAAGGAGGCAGGACTTTTTGATCCGTTTACCGACTCTGTTCAAGTCACCGAGTTTACAGTGAGCTTACTTTACATAAAGTCTTTGTTTAAGGTGATATGATTTCCCAGGAGTAGTTACTGATACAAGCTCTTGTTGATTGAATTAATACCGAAAACACAGATCAAAGATGCTTATTCTCTAAGGTTTTTCGAGAATAATTCAAGCCGGCTTCCAGAGTGGTGCAATGTTGCCGACAATGTAAAGCTTCCTTACTGTCAGATAAAAGGGAAGTATCGAATGGAACTACCCGGATATAATTCTATGGATCCATACGCGCATATGAACGAACGTTGCCCTTCTATGCCTCCAAAGTACTTTAGGCCACGAAACTGCTAGACATGACAGCTTCATTTATCGTTTCGGGCAATTCTGTGCAACGCTATGTTCGGTATCAACTGTATATATGCTAATCATACTAGGAATGGAGATGTCAGTTACTCTAATGTATGATATGAAATGCAAGATTATGCCCATAGATTTACAAAATCCATTCTTCTGTTGAAATTTTAGTCTTAAATGAGTTGTAAATTCTTGTTTTTCTTGTTTTTTTTATTTATATATATATATATATATTTGCATCAGATGAGCAGAAAAACTGGTCTTTATACTGAGAAAGAACATGTTCATGTGGCCATTCATGTTAGAATCTGCATCAAGCCACTATAAATCTGATCCCATTGGGAAAATTAGGTGAACCATTCATTCCAAGAACAAATTTAAACTTCAAACGCAGGAAATTTCTACAAAAGCAACATAATTCTGGGAAAAAAAACCAGAGTTCTTTCATATGTAACAGTCTAATAGTTTAAATTCATACACACATCAGAGTACAACACGTGTTATATAATTGAAATTTTCAAAAGCAGTCAAGCTTCAATTATCTTGAAGGAACTGTTAAAACTTGATAATCTCAGTGTAACAGTGTTATTCAGCCTTGGCTGAGAAATGATTGCCGCCGGTGGCGATTTTGTACAAGTAAAACCCAGTCATAAGAGCACTGCAACCAAATGTTACCAAACGCAACATGAGTTAGTATATCCTGAAGTCCTAATGGATTCTGAACCAACAAAGAAACCTAGAATAAACTCGTGTCCAAGTCAAAAGAGGTGGACAAATGGAAGCAGAGATTATCTGACACTTTTGCATTGGAAACGGGAACATTATGAGTCATCGAACGGGAATCAGGTCGAGTCATAGGCTACACCAAAGATGGATCATAAAAAGACGTGCACATCATGAAAGAATCTCAAAATCATGAGACTTATATACATGGTATTGAAATGCAGCATGCTGTTAATATGCAATAGGTATGAGATAAACCGGATATGGGGGTTCTATAACCAGTGCCATCGAAAGGAGCTATTCGACGGCACACAACCGAATACTTAAGGTCTTAATCATGTTTAATAAAAAAAGGTATTAATCATGTTGCACATTTATCCATATACGAATATTGTTAGTTTTAGAATAACTTAAATGATAAGATTATCACAGTAATGATATAATTTGGTACATCATATGAAAGGGTACTGAATATATATTAACAGGAGAGCAACATACCTTATTCCGGCAACAATTCCGGCCGGCATAATTTTAGACGTTTGGTAATAACGTTGTCCCATGATCCATGTCAGGGCAGCAGCGGTAACTGATTTAAAGGTATACAATACAGATCAATAAAAAGAAGAAACATTTGTCATCATTGAAGGGGAAGATCGTAACCAAGCAGACAATAGACAGATTCAACTTTCATGGACATAAAAAAGACAAAATATTTCCTAGAAATTCAGCAAGAAAATAACATCAACTTGGATAAAAAATATCCAATCTGATTCATGAACACCAACATCATCTAACATCATCTATGATCAGTGATCCAGAAAAGTTAAAAAAAAAATCAGTCTCCTAAAATATGAACACCAACAAAATCATCTATTACCTAACTACAGATCATAAGGGTAATTAAACAAAATCCCCAGATCAAATTTACAACATAAAAGTTTATAAAAAAAGGATGAAAAGAAAGATAGGATTTTGAAAATTTACCAGTCTCAAGAACCAAAGCAAAATAAGAGTTCTTCTTCTTCTCGAAAGCTTTAAGGCTCAAATATCCAGCAAGAATGAGAGCCAATCCAGTACCTACACCCCCAGCAAGTGACGCGGTGCTCCCTCTCTTCAAATACCCAATAACTCCTCCGGCCACAAGAATCAATCCATAAGGGATTGTGAAGCAAAAATCATGCATTTTGGGTAAAGGGTCCTTTTTTGCTAGGAGTAAAGTTGAGTTGAACTGATCAAAGGGAAAAGAACTGGAGCAACAGCAATTGGATTTTTGTTTTGAGTTCAGAATTTGTAGTTCTCAAAGATGGACTTTTTCTGGCGTGTGGAACTTTTAATTGGTCAAACCTCAATGGCAACATTTTTCCCTTTAAAAAATAAAATAAAAAATAACTAGTTGAATATAAAGGATTCCTCAATATCCTATTCCTACGTATCCATATATATATATATATATGCCGAATAAAATTCAATTCAGAAAAATTAAATTTTAATTCAATTCAATATTAAAATACTTGACTTAATTTTATAAATTTAATCTGTTTCGAAAAAGAATTTAAATAAAATTTAAGTTATAAAATATAATTTAAATGATTCAAAAAAATTTAATAATTAGAAGATTGTTTTTCAAATTTAAGTTGAGCCCTCTCTCACTCTCCCCCCTCTCTCTATATATATATCTCCCTCTCTCTTTCTATATATATACATGAAACATGGTTATAAAAAACTATTCAAGTTGAAATCTACTAGTATCATAAATTTTATAAATATTTATAATTAAATTTAAATGAAAACTCGAGTAACATATTTAAAAAGCTACATAATCAAAAGTAATGCCTTTAGTAACCTTATAAATATTTATAATTAAATATTCAAGTTGAAAGCTGTTTTATATTGAAGTAATAATTATTTTGCAATAGTTTAATAGTTTAAATGCCTTTAGTAACATATATAAAAAGCCACGTAATAAAAAAAATTCAATAAATATAGTTATTATATTAGTTGCAAGTAATGTGAAACCATTGTATCTTTCATGGCCTGTGTCAATGGATCGTTAACACATGGATCCGGTTGGTTTTTTTAAATGGGGTTCGGATCTGGTCGGGTTAGAGTTTTTTTAGAGGTAATGTTTGGGTCAGGTCGAGTTTAGGTCTAGGGTGTAAAATACATGACCCGACCCGACCCAAAAAATATAAATGTTTTATATTTAGGGATAATTATAATAATATCCCTTTATATATTATTATTTTTAATTAAATCCCTATTTTTATTATTTCGGGTCGGGTTGGGCCAAGCTCGAATTTTACCTCAAAAAGTAGGGTTGGATTTGGGATGGGTGAAGGGTGTAAAGTTTTCAGGTCGGGTAGGGTTGGTCGGGTCGGGTGGAGGGTGTAAAATTTTCGGGTTGGGTTGAAGTCTGGAACCTGACCCGTGCTCGTCCCTAAATATGTCATGTCGTATTACTTACTACCTGAAAATATACTAAATGAGATTACAAGGATTATGTGTCCCTTCTGGTGGATAGGAAAACATAATAAACGCAGATGACCGTTGCTTGCTTGGACTAATATATGTACTCCGAAAAGAGTGGGTGGGTTAGGATTTTGCGACTTACGATCTTTCAACCTTGCTATGTTAGGGAAACAAATTTGGAGACTTATTAAGACCTCGGAGTTATTATTTGCTCTTGTTTTAGAGTTAAATGCTATCCTGATGGTGACGTGTTAAATGCTAGAACTAGGAAACGAAGCTCATATGCATGGAAAGGCCCTTACAAGACGATACAAGCTTTATCGGGTGACTTCTACTGGAGAATAGGATGTAATAGTCCCACACATGTATTTAACGACAAGTGAGAAGGGACCAAACTGTTATCATTTACAGGGTCTTATTTTGAAGAGGCTAGGGCAAACGTCAAGTGTAGAGACTTTTATGTTAAGGGATCAATCACAATGGGATCGAGCAAAAGTTATTAGCTTCTTTAATGGACAAGATGCGGGGGTAGTGTTGTATGTTCCAATTGCCCCTTGTAATAGTGATACTATAATATGGGGAAACCATGACAGTGGTGTTTACTTTGTTAGGTGCACATATTGATGGCTTCAACAGACCACCCACACACCAGAGGCTGTTTCAAAAATATGGCAAACTAAGTCAAAATTGAATATTCTACCCAAAGAACTAATATTTGTATGGAGATTGGCCCATGGTGCACTCTTAGTTGGTGCACGTTTGAGAGCAGCAGGAATAGGGAATGATCTTTGCCCAAATTGCCAGATGGACACCGAAACACCCATTCATGTTTACGTGATTACGGTTTTGCTCATGAGGTACTACGGCTGAAAGGGATTCCAGGTTTGATTGTGTATAATACTTGTGTATCACCTTTACTTTGGTTGGAACATGCTCTTGGATTAGAGATTTTTACAAGTTTTTTAATGATTCTCTAGAATGTTTGGAATAGGAGGAATGCTTTCGTGTATGATGGTCGTGTTCAACCTGCATGGACGTTGGTAAAGATAAAGTTCAACGCGGATAATGCTTGCGATCTGGTTACCAAAACGGCAACAGTTGGCGTTATAGCTCGTGATGGAAAGGGATGCATTCTTGGTGGTTTAGCCATGACATCTCATGGTTGTTTGGATGCTGGAATGATTGAATTGCATGGTTTAGCAGCAACGGTTAACTTGGCTATAGATAAAGGGTGGCAGAATGTATTCTTTGAGTTGGACTCCTCCATGGTTGTCAACAAATTCAATGGGGAAGACGACGATGAATCTACGTTGGGCATTCATATGAAAGCTATTCTTCGTACATGTAATTCTTTTACTCGTTGGTTAGTTGTTTTTGTACGTAGGGAAGCGAATAGAGTGGCTCATAATTTGTCTAAAAGAGCACTCAATTTAAATGTTTCTTTTTTCTTTGACTTATTTATGTTGATAGGAGGGATATTTAATGAGGTCCTCACTTTAAAAAAAATAATAATATAAATATAACACTCCAAAAATCGGGTTAATAGTTTCGGGTATTATCGTTGGGCTTAGAGTGCTTATATTAAGCTATTTTAATCACCGGGTCAAAAATAAAGAGGATTGGGCTTGTCAAAAAGCCCAAAAAGCAATAAAAACGGTGTTTTTGAATTAAGGCAAAAAGGGAATGACTAAGGCAACAATTTACCCAAAAACTTTTGAAAGGCTGATTAACATTAAAATTTGGTGATGTAATCGGGCGTAAAAGCCTGAAAACGTCTTTCTCATTTTCCTCCCACCATTTGTCTTCTCTTTCCTCTCATATTTTCCATCCTTTTCCCTTCTTGAGCTTCAAAGGTGAGAACTTTATAGTTCCACACAACTAGTCTGTATTTAAGAAGGTAAGGATGATAATCTTTATCCTTAGAGCTCCATTTCTAACTAAAAATCATGAGGTTTAGCAATGGTGGCAAAGGAATGGGTTTTTAAAAGGGTTACTGT